TCAAGGAGAAGTTACTTGAAAAATATTAGGATATTCAAGATCAATACTCCTAAAATACATGAAGTGCAATGCCTAATTCAAGGTTTCTTCCTCCAACTTTGTTTCAAATTCTTGATCAAAGGGAAGTTCAAATTTGCAAAGTATGAGTCAAGATCACAAGTGCATAATTCAAGATTCCATTCATTCCAAACAATGGTATAAGGGAAATCCATCATTCAAAGTTCAAGATTCATTAATTCAAGACTAAAATATTACAAACAGAAATTTCATGACATTACAAGAATGCCATTTGTTACAAAATCTCCAACTATAAGTAATGTTTAGAAATTAATCTATTTCTAATCTTGATTCAAGTTTCTAATTAATTTCATGTCATGGTACCCTTCATGCCTCATCAAATCTCCATGTGCTACATACAATTCATAACCAATTTAACTCACAAATATCCAAGGAAAATAACTAAGGTTTTATTCAACATTAGAGCGTTTCAAAAGAATAACCATCAATGCTTATTCATAGGCAATTTCAAAGCATTTTTAATTGATCCAAAACAGCCCCATGACCAACTAATTCCCAACTAAACAAACCATGTCACAAAACTTGAGGAACTAGATCATGTTGGTTCACTCACATGCCAAAATTCAGAATTCCAAAATTTTGTCAAGAGGAGAAGCATGGACCACAAGGACATCCCAAGAGCAAGTGAATAAAGGAGAGCAATGCAAAAGGACAGCAAAATCCAGCAATAGTGCAGCAGAAAAAACAGCAATGCAAAAAAAGTAGCAAAAGCTGAAAAGCAACATGCTCGAAATGGAAAGAAAGAGGGTGTACCAAGAAAGTGGCATTGGACATTTCTAAATAAAAAATCTGAAGTTTTGAAAGGAGGGAAAACCCTAATGTGTTGAGATAAAAGAGGAGAGAGGGTTGCAAATAGAGGAGGGACTATTCACTACACATTGAAAAAATAGAGAGAGCAAGAAACCCTAGAAAACAAAAAAAAAATAGAGAGAAAGAAAGTCAGAAAAATCAAGAGAGTCACATAGAAACAAGAGAACCATTGAGAAGCAGAACCATCAAAACGTAGAGTGAAGAGTGAAGGGAACACACAACCAAAGTCAGTGGAGATTTTGCAAGAAGGAGAGCAACTCTTTGATATCCATTTCTTCAAACTTTTCTCTCTTTATATTTTGCACTTGTCATTTATTATCTCTGTTGAGTGTTTTTATGTTGTGTACCTTGTGTAAAGTCCCAAGAGGGACCAAGAAACCATTATAAGAACCACAAGAAAGAAAGAGAGCAAAGGAAAAGCTCATATTTCTTTTCACCCAGTAGGGCTGACACGGGCGGCCGTGTCAACCCGCTGTTTAAGTTTTCTTCGCGCGTATCTCTTAGAGGTGTTGACACGGGTCGTGTCAGCTGACACGGGCGCCCGTGTCAGCTCCCCTGTTTTACCTAAAAAATGAGTGTTTTGGGCACTTCTTGACATGGGTCGTGTCACCTGACACGGCCAGCCGTGTCAGGCCCTTGTTTTTTCATGTTTTGTGTTTTTCATGCCGACCAACCCGATGCGGTTAAACGGATATTATATGTGGACATTATTATAATTATGTTTGACCTTTTTGTTCCAAAACTATTTTCAAAAATAAAGTCTCGGTTTTATCGAGCCATTTTCACCTTGTAAGTCGACCACCTTGTGCGTTCGCTATCGACCTTGTTTGCATCACTTCAAATATTTTTACAAACAATAAAACCCTTGACCCAACATCAAGTGGTATTTTTGTCATAAAAAAATCCAAAACACAATAAAGATACAATTGGGGTCATACACCATAAACTTTAAAGTGATGGAGAAGGAATGAGAATGAAACCCTCCTACACTCGTTCCGAATGTTTAGAATACAAGGCGCTCGACTTGGTTATTCGAAACATTCATCTCTATCCAAAGTTTTTTGTGTAATCCTAATCAAGAACAATTTCTCCTCAAAAACCTCAAAATAACATCAACTCATCAAACTTCTTTTCGCCTTAGGGCATCAATTCGAAAACCCTTTTTCAAGCTATAAAATCAACCAACAAACAACCATTACATAAGCCTCCGAACTACGGAGCTCTGATTCTTCACTTCTTTTAAGTGAGGATACGTAGGCACAAGGGCCACAATCCTTGGCGAGCATTAAAATAAAAAACCAACCCCTCTTTTCTTTTAAGCAATCACACTTTTAGATTAAAAACACCCACTCAAACGAAACAACCTAGAAGGTTCCCATCGAGTACGATGGATGCGAGGGGGTGCTAACACCTTCCCCTCGCATAATCGACTCCCGAACCCTAAGACCTGGTTACGATGACCATGCCCTTTCCCTAAAGGTTTTATCTCTATTTCCCTTTCCCTCTTTGGGATAAATAAAATCCGGTGGCGACTCTGTGTCATTTTTCGCCTAGCGACACCTACCTACCATGGCCTTAATAAAAATGTTCTTAGTAAGTCCTTAGTAGTTTACCTTAGCAGTCAGCTCCGGCCAAAGTGTGATCTAAGTGAAGGACCGATGAAAATAAGTGTATGATCGATATGATAAATAAAAAAAAAATTGCAACTCGGGTATATGCAACCCTCACAAGGTCATTTAACCCAAAAAGGTTGTAATTTCGAAAAGAAAAAAAAGAAAAAAAAAATGATGAATAAGAGCAAGTCAAAATAAAAATCTTCCCATTGATAGTTGGTTCAGAGGTGTCTGGTGCTGAACTTGGTAGGGCAGGTTACAATCTGATCCCCCACAACTACAATAGGGTCAATAAAAGGGGTTACACCAATTTTTGTACCAGAGCCCCATGCTTGAGATCAGAATCACCAACCGGTCACTTCACCATGATTTCGTACGGATAACGGGCTTAATGTGATTGCACCAGAATGAAAAGGACCCAAAAGGAGATTTGAAAGTAGGCCTAGGTACGATAGGGTATTACCAATTGCTTATTGTAAGAATGAAGCCTATGTCCGTATTTACGGAGAAGTGTCATTTCGATACCCGTGGTTCACTGAGTTAATACTTGTCTCTTCATCCCAGCTTGAACTTATAAGCCCTCTTTTCCCAGATCATTTATGGATATCACCCTCTTTTGTCTTGATGTTTTTGCTTGAGGACAAGCAAAAGTTTTAGTGTGGGACAATTTGATAGGCCCAAAATATACTATTTATTCGACTCGATTTGCGCATGTTATTTAGGATTTTATTTTTGTTTTATTGTATTATGCCTCTATTTTGTTTCTTTTCAGGTTTTTGTATTTTCAAAGCTACTCGAGAAAAAATGAAGAAAAATGAGATAAAAGACCAACATTCTAAGGAATTGTACACATGGCTTCCACCATGGCGAGCGCCATAGGGGATGCCACACATTGGATAGAAGACAACTGCTGACAACTGCCACGTCTCCCACTCCTTTCCACCCTAGTTCATGTGGCGGGCGCCACCTTCACAATTTCGTTTCCCTCCCAAAAGGAGTTGGGGGCATTCTTGTTCTTACCTATACTTTCCTACCATTGAAAATAGAGGAGTTATGTCTCATTTCTAATCATCCAAGCTTAGTTACAGAACTCAAGCCATAAATTTCACCTATTGTAAAGTGATAAACTTCTCACATCGAGGGGTTATCACACTGTTTAATCGAGTCTGTAATTGGGTTTGGAGTACTTGGGTAGAAGTTAATCCTGCCGCCATTTTATTTCTGTCATTTAATTCCAGTTGTACCAAGATTTAAAGCCTCTCGCTTAGAGCAGGTTTCTGTTTATTTATCGCCCTTTTATTTATCCGTTGTTATTTCTTGCACCGCTTTTATTTATCGCACCCTTTACCGCACTTTATCTATTTTTCCCGCACATTATTTACTCGCATTTATTTACCATGTCTATTTACTTTACCATGTTCGGCTAAATCTTAAAGGTTAGGATGCAAGGATTGTAGTTATAATAGTATTTCATACGACTGTCGATAGAATTACTTAAGGGTTATTTTGACTTTTAACACTTATTTTCTGCACTTAAAATCTGTTGGGTAAGATCGAAAGTTGTCCAACCTTTAGATAAATTAGGTTAGTTTTAACTGTTCAAAGGAAGCGAAAGCGCTTGGTTCCGTTAATTAGGAATTTTTAATGTTTAAGAAAACCGATTTTAAAACTGTTTTCGGACGCGTTTATGGATTTAAAGCCCGGTTCGCAAGAACCTCTTTTTGTTAGGAATTCCAAGTCAAAATACTTTTCAACCAAGTTAAGAAACTATATTTCTTAAAAATAGGTTTATTAATCCTAACGCAATACGCGTCTTTTTATAAGTGGCAATAAGAGGGATCGATTAGGGATAAACTCGGTTTTGAATACGCGAAAGCGACAATTCCCGTTAAATTAGTTCTTTTCATAAGTAGAAAACATTACCCCATAAGGCATTCTATTTATACGCATTTGGAATACTACGTAGCTATGTGAATTGCATTTATGTCTGTTGTTTTATTATTGAATTTATTTCCGCACTTTACTTTTATTTCGCACAACTCAACCTTTTATTTAACTTGCCTTAGATAAACACCGTAACACTAGCGAGCAATTGATTGACGTTTGGTCTCTGTGGGATCGATAATCTTTTATATTACTCTGACGCTATTCGAGCACTTGCGAATTGAGTATCAAGAATCACCACAAAAGAAAGAGACTCTTAATAAGATTCAAGTTTGTTTCAAAAAAGAATCCTAAAAATTCTTTCTCAAAAATCAGACAAAAGTGTCAATTTTTTTCTATTTACCAAATATTACACCAATAAAATACATATATAGTCTAAGATAAATAGAGAGTGCCTAAGATACACACAATTAAAGATATGGCGCCTAAAATAACAAGTTCTTAGATGTACACACATTAAAAATTTTGGTCTTAAACTAATTCTATGACCAAGATATTAGAATGATGTGGATCAATTTTGTCTCATGACTTAAGTCCAATAAATTTAATAACTTGTTACTCCAATTGTAACTTTAACTTTCTAGTATTTTCTCTAGTTAATGGTCCTTCCATTTCTAGTTCTTGAATATCTTTAACCTTTATTTTTAGTAGGTCCTCAACATCCCCACTCTCTTTAAGATAATTTGTCCTCAAATTCATCTCCTCGTCATATTCATCATCTACGTCACAAGGAGTCAAATCACTAACATTGAATGTGACACTAACTTGATATTCACCAGGAAGGTCTATTTTGTATGTGGTGTCATTGATATGCTCCAACACCTTGAAATAACCATCAACCCTTGGTTGAATCTTTGATTTCTTTAGAGAGATAAATCTACCCGTCTTTAAGTGATGCCACATGATATGGATTTGAGTGCTTCCATAAAATTTAAATTATCTAACCAAGTTATTTTTTTGAATAAATTGACACATAAAAGGGAAACAAATAACAAAAAAATGGATAACGTGGATAAGATGAAGAAGGAAGGTGCAACAACCTAGAAGATTGATAAGTCAATAAGGAATCACCACAATGGTAGGGAAGCCATTGATAAAATTCAATTAGGATTCAAATCCAAGAACAAAAAAACAGGAGACCTAGCTCACTCACAATTCTCATAAAAGAGAAAAACTCATATCATCTCAAACTCATCTTCATTTTGATAAGATCTTCCATGATGTGGTGTCACATCTCTTTGATTCACAAGCTCTTCTTTCAAGGAATTAATTTGAGTATTTAACATTTTTGTAAATTTCTACATAAGAGAAGCGGTTCCAGGGAAAGATGGGTTTAGTTCATTTTCACTCATGATTTCAACAAAAAAACATCAATAATTGTCACAATTTTAATATACCATATCATGTTAAGTGTTATATTCCTTGAACTTCTATGTACTTTAAATATTGTCAGTTGAGACAAATTGAACTTCTATGTGCTCTAAATATTGTCAGTTGAGACAAATTGAGCTTCTATGTGCTCTAAATATTGTCAGTTGAGACAAATTGAACTTCTATGTGCTCTAAATATCAATTGAGATATTTTTCTCTCATATATATATATATATATATATATATATATATATATATATATATATATATATATATATATATATATATATATATATATATATATATATATATATATATATATATATATATATATATATATATATATATATATATATATATATATATATATATATATATATATATATATATATATATATATATATATATATATATAAGAAAAGAAAGAAAAGAAGAAGAAAACCATTAAGAGATAAAAGAAGAAAAGAGGAAAGAAAAGAAGAGAAAAGGAAGAAGAAAGAAGAGGAAGAAGAAGAGGAAAGTCGTGGAGGAGTCATCATCTCCAACTTCATATCATCATCTTCATAATCATCATCATCATCACCAACTTTACCTCATGTTTTTCTTCTTCACCAAGCAAGGTGAGTTCCTAGTTAGATTAGCATTGGGCTGGAGAAATTTATGTGTGGCAAGTTAGGATTTTGTGTTGTTGTTGTTTGATCATGGCATGATGAAATTGTTGTTGTTATTGCTTCCTCATTATTGTTTTTCTTGACTCTTCATTGTTGATGTTCTTGCTTCTATGTGATATTCCTTGACCTATATATGTTGTTTAATATTATTTTGGTGTGTTAGAGGTTGTGTTGATGTTATGAGAATATATGAAGAAACTATGTTATTGTTGTTATTGTTGTGTCAGACCATGGTATTTAGTGTTGTTGTATGCAATATTATAATGCATATTAATTTTTTTGGTGTTTTCCTTATCCAAACATGTCATGTTAGTGTCCTAGTTTTGTCACGCTTGTTAGAAGTTTGCTAAGTGAAACACGGGAAATATGCTGCTTACTTGGTTCGTTAAGAGTTTGCTCAGTGAAGTCTGTTTGCTACCAATTCGCTAAGAGGAGTTAGGGGAAGTTGGCTAATGACTTGGTTTGCTAGGATTTCGTTAGGGCTCGCTAAGAGAACTTGTCAGCATTGAGAAAAATGCTTTGGTTCTCGTTTTTACCATAACTCGAGAATCGTAACTCCGATTAGTGTAGGGTTGAATGCGTTGGAAAGCTTGTTTAAAGCTCCATCTGATGATGATGCTTGATAATGCTTTATTTCCTAATTTATTTTGGTGAATTGATTATACTTTCCTTTTCTTATGTATTTTTACTAATGCTTGATGAGATATGATGAACCATGTTATGAACTGTATTATGAATTGTTAGTTGCGATGCTTCCTTATATGTATACCATGATTAAAAACCTTTAATGATGAGTGAAGAAACCTTAGGAGAGTAACTCGATTAATGACTTAGAAAGATAATCTAGGTTATGGAAATGAGTATGTGGTGATGCTTGGATGCAAAGGTAGCTCGATGTGTATCGTGGATAAGTATTTGCTTGATTTACGAATCAATATGCTTTGTATGGAACATGTGAAAATAATATGTGAATAGATGAAGATGATCACCTAGTATTTGATAGAAATGCATGAGAATTGGTGGATATGATCACCTAGTGATTGATGAGTACAATCAAGTTGTGATTGATGAACTAGTTAGGTATTTGGAAATAATCCTATTGTTGTGCCCGTCCCGAAGTTTGATGCTTATGAAAGTAATAATTAGGATATATGTATTATTGTTATACATATTCAACCAAATGGGTTAGGGTCCCACAATGCAATCAAACGGATTAGAGTGCCTTAGAAGACGTGGACCTCAAAGTGGGTTAGAGTCTCATACGAGGAAAAGGCTCGAAATGGGTTTGAGTCCCATAGGGAGCAACGATTCTGGAAGTGGGCACGTGTCCCATGGAAGAATCTGAAATCCACAAAAGTCGAAGCATGATACAAGGATCTGTGACTCGTGTCAATAATCCTAGACGTAGGGTTGGCTGTGGAAAGATGCCTTGGTATATTTTTTGAATAATGATTGATTTAATTTAATGAACTCAAGTATACATGTTTTCATACCATGCGAGAATCCCCTGGATACTTAAGTCTCTATTTTATTTGGAGGAATTATTTTGAGAAATCGATTAGAAACCCTGTAGAGCCGAGTGAACCCATATGATATGGGAACTCGCTGAGATTATTATCTCACCCCAATATTGTTGTTATTTTTTAAGTGTTGTTTACAGGTTATGTACACGAGAAGTTGTGTGTTTATGTTTCGAAGGGTTCTGACTGATGTGATCTTCATTGTGGATTGTGTGTAATGAAGATATTGCACATAGATATTAGTTTTATTTTAGGCACTATTATATGTCGTGTGTCATACTTTATAGTTTGTTTTATGGAATTATATATAATGATCTCGTTAGGCACTTGTGTTGTATCAGTACCAAATTAATATCTTATATAATGTATTTTCTATATGTATATTATACGAGGTGTTACAATTGGTATCAGAGCAGGTCGATTCTAGACCTAGCCTTGAAATATCATATGTAAATCAATTCATGACTCATATATGTGTTTAGCCAACATGATTCTTGATGTCATGTTATGTAGTATTGGGTCTGATCAACCTAATTCTATGTGCGTGGTAGATAGGATCATGGTTGATCGACCACGAGGACTGTAAAGGTTAAATAGAGCTTTTGCTTAGAGGGTAAGTTCAATCCAATAGTAGGAAGTGAGGAGAACTAGTGAACTCAGTTGAAGTTGAAGTGAAATTTATATCATAAGTAATATGGATGTGCAGTTTGGTTAATGGTTCAAGCAATTCTATAATGCTAGAGGAGTTAGAAAGTTGAGAATTTCTATCGGATGTTTTTTTTCGGAGTTTTGAGAAAGGTGTGAGACATTAGTAGAGCAAGATTAATCTATTAGTATGGAAAAATTATTACAGGTAATTCCATACAGCGATGGAGAAAGGAAAATTTTGTTACATGTATGCCACAAGGCCTGGAGATGAGGTGATGTGCATGTGTCTCATCTCGTAAGAGCCTAGAGCATCTTAGAAGAACGAGAATTCTTCAGGGAGTATTTTCGTAATGGTAGCTTCCAAATGGTTGAAGGCTCGAGAGATGTTGATGTTCAACATTACGTCCAGGATCTAAGGTAGTGGTGAAGTATATGAAAAGGCTCGAAGACATGACTGCATATTTCAAGTAGGACATGGCTGAACCAAACAAAGGGTAAGAAATAGACCAAGTATACCTAATCTTGGTAAGGAGATTGGGTTCAAGATGGTTCTTCAGAGATCCAGTGTTAGTAGTAGACCATTGTGGAAATGTTGAGTTACCTAAGGATCAGTTGAAGGAGGTTCATGTTAAGAGAAAAAGAGTAAGTGTTTTAGATTCAAGGAAATTCTAGTGGAATGGATCTATAATTGGAGTTAAGAGAATTACCATAGGAAGATAAGCAAACACAAATTTAGGAGAAATGTAACTCTTGCAAAACAATTGTTGCGATGAGACACATTTCATATAAATGTGTAATGGTATCATTTAGGCTAAGATGAGAGCGTGCAGATGATGATTGTTTGGAAATGAAAATCTCTAGAGTATGATGTGAAGGGTGAAAATTTATACCTTGGTATTAAGAAGAATGTGATAGTAACATCTTGGTCACAAGTATGTGTATTTGATTATTTTATTTTGGGATGGTTGTGGAGTATCACACTATTTATTTTAAGCAGTGAGTCTTGTGTCCTAAGAAGTTTGAACCTGTGGTAAGCAACATAAGACAATCCAAACTTGAATGCAAAGCTAAGTGTGGAATGTGAAACGAACTACACTGTATGAACATGTACGTAGGCGACAAAGATTTTCATATGCAAGTCATGTATTTAAGTAACCTCCCTATGACTAAGTGTCCAGTCGATGTTTGGTTCGAAAAGGGAATATCAAAGTTCATCTTGAAGTGTATATTATTTGGTTGGAAAGAGCAGGAATGGATTATTGAAAGTCAAGTTGGTGTTCATCTTCGTAAGTAGTGTTTGGATTGTTTAATCCGAGAGTATGATATTCACATCTTGTTGGAACTAAGTAAATCCAGAATCATGTTTGTGTGCCATCAGAAGTGTGCGGGTTTAAGAATAGAGTTGCATGTTATTGCAAGTCAAGTTGATAATTTTGAAATTGGAATCTTTGAAGGTTTACTACGTAGCTGACCATCTGTAAAGATGTAAAAGAAGTTAGATGTTTAGGGAACCAACCTAGTGAATTGTACTCAGTATGAGTAAGTCTCGGATATATCACTATTATGAATAATTAGAACCATAGGGAGTGAAGTCGGAATAGACTTACCAAGTAGTGATCTCAAAGAATTGGTTCAATAACTTGTATGTATTAGTAAAGTGTAATTTGGCTGGTAATCGTATGACATTGAATAA